AAGCCGAGCAACATGCTTCTTTACTTGATTTATTTCTTACCTCTTCTCTTTGCTTTTAACCAGCTTCACAATACTGCCCTCTTGGTAACTTGGACCGCTCTGTAGTAGCTATTGGTATTGTAGCGACGGGGTTACCAATATTGTAGCGGGTTGTCACCATAATGTAAGGGTGTGTACTATATATTTAACTTTGGCGAGGAAAAGCGGGATTAAGGACAATGCGTGGACGCAATACAATTTATATTTGGCGTAAATAACACATAGTATAAAATACAAAACAGAATGTAATGATTTCAAAACATAACAATTGAATTTCTTAGTGTTTGGTGTACAAGCATATAAGCTGAAGGTGTGATAGAGTTATGTCTCTTAGATTTGGAAATATTTGTACCTGAACTCAAGAAGAAGTAATTATTAAACTGTAGTTTAAAATAATGAAGTTCCTTTATGTGGATTGGTAAAGTTGGTAAGAGTTCAGAAGAGATTTTAGAGTTCGTACTTGCGTGAAATGGTATTTGTTCTTTTACGTCTGACTGCATGGTCAAGACGGGAGTTCTTGAAGATTACATCTTGGCAGCATGGAAAATGATGAATGAAAAGAAACACGAGGGAGCCTATTCGTGCTTTGTTTATATATGGCTGTGTATCACGTGGGAGGCTCAGATCAAAAACGCAGGAAATTAGATTTGTCGCGTGCAGGCGGTTTGATTGAACTGACCAATCAGCGAGCTAATTTTGAGAAGATTAACCAATGAATGCTTGTCGCATGATTTGTATCTAGTGTGTGTGATAATTACTACAGGGGAAGAGTGCATTTTCCAATGGGGGTGTAAATGGCGAATGTGGAATATTCCACAGTATCTCCTCCCAAGCATCCGTTAAACAGGAACCCACTATCCATAAAATCTCTTTCCGTTACTAGCATGCTGATTGACACTCAATCCGTGATTTTTTTTTTTTTTTTTGTGGCGCACAATCGGTTGATATTTTCAACCCCACGACTGAAAATTGCGCCACTGCAGTTCTTTTGGGGACAAAGAAGGCAATCCTCCCCATGATTCACACTAGCATGCTCGGCCGCTATAGCACCCACTATTTCCGGCTATACTTGCGTGACAGCTCTCGTCACAAATGGCATTTATTCGTTACTGTCCGTAATAAATGTAAGCGACTCCTCGAAGAACGTAAGTTCCGATTTGCCAAGAGAATGGGTAACCGCATGACCCCTAAAAACTTTGGCTCCGTGATTACTGGCAGCTCTGTAATAGGGCATTAAATAAGTGAAATGTATCTATTCCTCCCCGAATTTGAACTGTTGTTATCCACTGCTAATACAGATGAATGCTTTGCCCGTAAATTCTCTACTCTTAACTCATTTAGAGTATCCCTACCCAACTTCTCCACTTAGAACTGAATCTGTAGAGTGACATGCATATAAGCCCTTATGTTTTCTGCTATCATCTCTAATCTGGACTTCCACAAAGCATGTGAACCCGATGGTGACCCTATAATGAGTCAATAAGAAGCGTGCTCCCGAACAGGCTCCTGTTTTCTCTGAAATGTATAATAAATGCTTTGCTGCCTCCTGTTTTTTTCCAGCTTAATGTAAGTCATCGTCTGTTGTTCCAGTTTTTAAGAATTCTGCTGAACCGTCAGCCCCTTCCTACTATCGGCCTATTAGACTTCTACATCTGTTTTGGGGAAACTCCTAGAGGCCCTAATCAATGCCGAATTAGTTCATAATCTGTCATCGGATGGCCATTTCTCAGAAAATCAATATGGCTATCGTTACTCCAGGTCAAATGCTGATGTACTGAAGATTATTGTGGAAAGTGTCTATCATGCTTTAGATCAGTGTTTCCCAAAGTGGGCGATAGCGCCCCACCTCCTTGTGGGCTCTGTGAATTTTTTTTTTTTAATTTCATTTTGCGGTGAGCATACTCAGGTAGCGGTGGGCATGTATCAAGATTTTTCAGATTTTCAAAAATTATTCAATATTGTCTACAAATGAAATTTCTGAAATTGCTGTGGAAAGCTATCAAAATTTTCTTCATTGCTTTTTCACCTTCCTAATGGAAATCATCGTCTATTGTTTCAGTTTGTATCGTCCAACCCCTCCAAATAACGGCCTATGAGCCTTCTACATCTCTTTTTGTGAAATTCCTAGAGGCCCTAGCTAATCCTTAATTGGTTTATCATCTCATCGGAGAGCCTTTACTCAGACAAGCAACTCAGCTTTCTTTTCATCTAGGTCAACTGCTGATGTCCTGACGATAATTACGGAAAGAAACCCTCATGCTTTTGATAAAACCGTGAAGCCCAGGCTGTATCATTGAACATCTTAAAAGAATCTGACAGGTTCTGGCGTACAAGTCTTCTCCACAAGCTGAAAAGTTACAGTGTCTCCGGACACATTTATGAGTTAACCCAGTCTTAATTATTAAATCATGAAATCAATACTATCCTGAACGGCCACTAAAGCGAGTGAACCCCGCCACCCAGGACTACATTCTTGCTCCTACGCTGTTTTTAATTTTCATCAATGATCTTCTGGATGGCAGCAGCTCCCAACTTGGCATCGACGCTGACGACACAATCATTTACTATTCTTCTAACAGCTATGAGTAAATAGTAGAAACGATTGTGTTCTATAGACCTGTGTCGCAACCGATCTAGAAGAAGGAAATCTCTGAATCCAAAACTGTATGTAGCCCTTGCTAGGCACATGCAACAAGATATGAATCCAACTCTTCTCTCAGCTATGGGCAAAGAGTATGACAAACTGGGTCCTATAGCCTTGTATAACAACCTATCTAGAAGAAGGAAATCTCTGAATTCAAAACTGTATGTAGCCCTTGCTAAGCACATGCAACAAGGTATGAATCCAACTCTTCTCTCAGCTATGGGCAAAGAGTATGACAAACTGGGTCCTATAGCCTTGTATGACAACCGATCTAGAAGAAGGAAATCTCTGAATTCAAAACTGTATGTAGCCCTTGCTAGGCACATGCAACAAGATATGAATCCAACTCTTCTCTCAGCTATGGGCAAAGAGTATGACAAACTGGGTCCTATAGCCTTGTATGACAACCGATCTAGAAGAAGGAAATCTCTGAATTCAAAACTGTATGTAGCCCTTGCTAAGCACATGCAACAAGGTATGAATCCAACTCTTCTTTCAGCTATGGGCAAAGAGTATGGCAGACTGGATCCTATAGCCTTGTATGGCAACCTATCTTGGAGAAGGAAAAATCTGAATTCAAAACTGTATGTAGCCGTGACGAATTACATACAAGTATGAGTCCGACTCTTTTCGCAGCTATGAATAAATAGAAAAACCGACTGGGTCTTATAGCTCTTTGTGGCAACCGGCCTAGAAGAAGGAAATCTCTGAATTCAAATCTGTATATAACCCTGGCGATGCGCATACTATACAGCTAAGGAAAGAATCGTTTCCATTGACTCGATGATCCCGACTAGGGTCGACTCATTTTTACAGTATTCCGAAGGCTCACAGTTTTCTGAAATGTTAACTTTATAAAAAAAAAATAACGTCGAATTACAAGGTGATCTTGCAAAATTCCTCCTTGACTTCACCGAAAATCAAACATAAAAGTTTACTTCAATAATGGTAATGGTTTGATTATCCTTTTCCATTCAGAAAACATTGGTCCTTCATTGACTAAACAATTAGCGTCACTGACAGCTGAAAATTATAAAATTTTCCTCTGAAAACACTATGCTGTTATTACTCTTTGATGGGAGTTTCCTTCCTAATCTTTTGTTTAAGACTGTGTGGAAAGTCAACATCTTGATTATATCATTATTTTCCCTTCTAGTTAAATATACTATCCATTCTAGTTGCCGTGACTGTCGGAAGTTCTTCAAGTGATGTAGTTTTTGTTCATTGGTAACATTCTTTCATCTTTTTCGTAGTGTCAGTCAACAAAATTCAATGAAGGATTGTCTTATTTAAGACCTCGAAGATTCATTCACCCTAAAACATTTTTAATCATTGATCTGAGAAAATGGTTGCATGTAGATGATAGTTTAGACATTTCTGAATGAGTTGGATGCTATGCGTGACATCCACATGAGAGTCTAGATCTGACAAGGCAATTAAAAAGTATGACTTGAGTTCTGATGTTAATATTTTGGTTTTGTAGCATCTTGTGGCATTGAGTGAAACTATTCCTAGTATAGCCAACCCTATTTTCAACTTTCTTATTTCCTATACTAAATATGTCATAACTGAATCAATTGCTAGGAAAGTTGGTATACTGTGTTGTACTAGACAATTTTTCTTGCATATTTATAGGTCTACTATTTATCCATGTATTGAATATTGCAGCCTCATCTGGTCAGGTGCTTTTGCTATATTTTTGGAAGTTATTAATAAAATACAAAGTATCGGCAATATTATTTGTCCTGACCTGGCATCTCGTCTTCACTCCATTTCCCATTGCTGTAACTTAGCTGCTGGATTGGTTGTTTTTGATTAACACTAACCCTAAACCGGAACCTAACCATAACCTAACCCAACCCCAACCCTAATCCAAACCCTAACCCTACCCTAATCTTAAACCTAACCCTAACTATAACACTAACCCTAACCCTAATCCTAAACCTAACCCTAAACCTAAAACTAACCCTAATCCTAAACATAAAACTAACCCTAACCCTAACCCTAATCCTAACACTAGCTCGAGGAGCCAGGTACATATTCAAGCGGTACAGAGGAGTGACCATTTTTCCAGCATCTTGCGCGATGGATCGTCTAGTATATATATATATATACATCTAATTGGGGGTCTGGAGTGATTTTAAGTCCCAATAGACGGCAAAGGATCTCCTTCAGAGAATAAAATTTCATCGCGACAGGCGAAACTTCAGGCTCTCTTCGGTAATGGGTTTGAGCTCGGTCATAAAAGTGAGCAGCTGCTATTTGGAGGGGGGAAACCCATGTACGATTGTATTATCTGCATTGATATTCAGTAAACAGATCGTTAGTATAAAGCAAGAAGAGGTTATGAGAGGGACAGCTGTGGATAGATGACAGACATACATACATGGGTAGAAAGATATAACAAATAGATAGATAGATAGATAGATAGATAGATAGATAGATAGATAGATTTCAATAGGCTGAGATAGATAGATAGATAGATAGATAGATAGATAGATAGATAGATAGATAGATTTCAACAGTCTGAGACAGACAGACAGATAGATAGATAGATATTAACAAGCTGTGATATATAGGAATAGACATAGATAGATAGATAGATAGATAGATAGATAGATAGATAGATAGATTTCAATAGGCTGAGATAGATAGATAGATAGATAGATAGATAGATAGATAGATAGATAGATAGATAGATAGATATTAACATGCTGCGATATATAGGAATAGACATAGATAGGTAATGAGGAAAATTAGATAGATAGATAGATAGATAGATAGATAGATAGATAGATAGATAGATAGATAGATAGATTTGAATGTGCGTCTGTAATCCCGCGCAATGATTAATCATGTTTTGCTATAATCTGATCTCTTCGATTAGATTTTATTTTTTTGTTTGGCTACAACTCCGATCAAAAAGACTCCGCATGATGAAATAGTTCCACTTCAAACTTATTCGAATCATCACAGAAATCCAGATCTAAGGTCACCTACAAATACCAGTAATTCCTTGGCGTAAATATTTTCGGTCAATTAAACCCAAGGGAGTAATTTTGCTGACAGTAACATATTTACAAGTATTACAATCCGGACTTTACAGTCGCGCCATATTCCGGAATTAGCTCTTTGATCGAGGCAGGCAATAAAATCCTTTTGTTAAGATATACTACTGACATTTCAAAAGACACCCCTCATATATATATATATATATATATATATATATATATATATATATATATATATATATATATATATATATATATATATTGCTGCTGACGCAGTGTCGGTTAGTCACACACAGTCCGCATATCACACCCAGCTTGGCAATGCTGCAAATCTCTTTGTTTTTGACGTCATTGTGAAAAAGGAAAGGGCCACACCCAACCAATCTGCACATTGGCGAACATTATTATCACTTTTTTTAATCGGCAAAAGAGAGCAAAAACTGTCTAGGAATTTGCTAATAGTTCCACACCAAAATACCCAAAGAGTTAAATGAACCCTTTGCAGACGGTAAAAAAAAATTACTGCAGAAATTAAATATTCCCACCTAATAATAATAATAATAATAATAATAATAATCTCTGAAAACTTAGGTCTCAGGTTTGGGCTCGGAAGATAATGTTTAAATCAAAGGAAATCATAATAATAATAATAATAATAATAATAATAAATAGTAATAATATGATGGAACTGTCGACCATATTATCTCAGGATGTTCGTAACTGGCAAAAAAATGAATATACCCAGGGACATAACAAGGTAGCGACATATGTGCACTGAAAGATATGCAAGAAGCACAAAATCGAAACCACTGAGACATGGTATGAACACCAACCAGACACAGTTACACAAAATAACGATGTAACTATCCTCTGGGACATGCTAATTCAAACTGATAGGGAAATAAAAGCCAACAGACCTGATATTATCCTAAAAGACAAGAAATTCAAGGAGTGTATTCTTATTGACAGAGCAGCACCATCTGAGAGAAAGACCTCCATAAAAATTATCGAGAAATTGTCCAAATACAAGGACCTGGAGATCGACATTAACAGGACCTGGAGAATGAAGACCAAGACTATTGTACCAATAGTAATCGGAGCACTGGGCCTCGTAAGAAAAGGAACAGACAATTCTACTAACAGTACCCCAGGTAACATCAACATATAAGTTCTCCAGAAGATCACCCCACTAGGAACATACCATATGCTAAGAAAAGTGCTATCAATTAAATGTCAATTCTCTTCTAGGGCCTAGGGCCCATACATTGAACTTGGCTCTACAGGATACAAAGAAGGAAACATAATGTAGAAAAATCACGTGGTAGAGATAAACACTCAGTTGTGGAGCAAGCTAAGTGAATAATAATCCAACCTTTAGAAAGAGAGCTATTTATGTTGCCATGGAGCATCTCATTGTGCTAAAGTGGGATAGTACGATTTCATTTTAATGGTGATGGTTTGTGCAGAACGAACCACACTTTCCGGAAGATTTGAATACAGAGAACCGGTGCACGCTGAGTGTCACAATTACTCCGAACAACTCTTCTCAGGTTTTAAGTTCGTAGTTATCCTTCTACTAGACTGGTTGCCAACGAAGGCTAAAGAACTGATTCCGATTCCAATTCCAGCAATCGAAAAACGCCTGAATTTATTTTAAAAGAAATCATGCTTACCATACTGACAATACATAGTTCTAGGCAAGGAGTGATTGTTAAATGCATACCCAGAAGCTATATGAATGGTGGACAATTGATTCATAACTTCAATCCCGATTTTGAACATGTGTTTTTTGCGTGTTCATAAATG